ATATCTTAGAGTTCTTCTAGATATCCTTAATAATCATCATCATTATACAAGTGGGTATATCTTAGAGTTCTTCTAGATATCCTTAACAATATACATCATTTTCATAATCATCATTATATCCATTTTTAATCATGATTTAATCAATAATCATACCAATCAGTAGGTTAATCATTCATAATTGGCCACAATAATAGTTCATCATAATGATCATTCAACATAACATTTAATAACAATTAGCGGCCTAGTCTCGAGTGTTAACACCCGAACTTACCGTCATGCATCACATAATGTTTTAATTTGTTAAAAACATCATTTTTGTTATGAAAAATCATTTTTATAATAATCATAATCAATTGGTATCAAAAATAGGATTTTAGAGCTCAAAAATAGCAATTTCAGACAAATTTTCGGATCAGAGTTTCGGAAGATCGATCCAGCCCTCTGGATCGATCCAACCAGAAGAAAAACTCCCAGAGGATCGATCCAATGAAGGGGATCGATCCACTCTGTGGATTTTCAGCCATTGTTCATTCGTCTTCAACCTCGGTCCATTTTTTGGGAAAACCATTTTTAGTCACCGAACTTCAATTAAACTATATAGAGATGTTCCCCAAAGTTCATAGATCATATTAGAATTATTAAAACATATTTTTAACATCAAATTCAAGGTTTATGATTCTTGGTTCTTCAAACATGTCAAACACAAAACTCAACCAAATGACCATTTATGAACGTAGAAACGACCTATATGAACATTCTAGTCATTAGATATATCTAGGGGCTTACCTCGAAGTGTAATGGAGGTTTTGAAGATTTTCCGGCAAAACTTCCGGCGAGTACCACGTCTTGCTCCGGCGAGCACGACGACAACTAATACTATCAGATTACTCCCCTCACTCACAGGATTCTATTGAACTAAATTGTAGAAAGAATGGTGTAGAAAATGGGAAATGAGCTCTCCCTTATATAGGGGTTGAAGAGGGGAAGAAGATAGGTTGCATCGTCATTTCCATGATCCTGTGATCGGCTAGTGCGCTGGGAGGCGCCGTTCGCACAGTGTCCCTGATTGGGACCAATTTTGGTTCCAATAGGGGTACACTTTTTGGTCCAACTTTCTCCGAATTGAAATCCGTTTGCACCGTTGCGATCAGACAGTCGAACTCTATCCAACGATATAATTTTTATATTCATTCGTTATACTTTTCCCGACACCACATTTTTGGGTGTTTGACCTTAACAGAGTCAAAATTGGTTTAATTGACCTTTCTCATAAAAGGTTCTCTCATTTAATTCATATCAATTATTCTCATGATTTATTTCAACAAATCATTTCAATATTTACATTCTAAACAAATTCTTTATTTACTCTTG